ATCAGCACTCTGAGAAGATGCAGCAGCAGATCTCAGCCTCTGTGTGGAAAGGTTTTAGGAATATCACCAACTACAAGCCTAAAACCCCCCACTCCACTGATGACTTGCTCTTGGCCAACACCCTTAACGACGTTTACTGCCGTTTTGACGAGCCATCAGGCAGCCTTCACACCTCCAACGGCCCCAACAAAAGAGACACTTTGGACACTCGTTCCCCCACCTCTCCCCCCTCCACAGAGCCATCACCACCTTCAAACACTTCACCTACAACACCCCCCTCCTCACCCCACACAAAGGAGGATTTCACACCACCTCCTCCTACCACTACTCTTCATATTCATGAAGCAGATGTGAGGAAGCAGTTTAAGAGTCTGAATGCTCGAAAAGCTCCTGGCCTAGACAGTGTGTCTCCTGCCACCCTCAGACACTGTGCAAACGAGCTGGCCCCAGTGTTTTCTGGCATTTTCAACTCCTCACTGCAGGCATGTCATGTGCCTGCCTGCTTCAAGTCCTCTACCATAATCCCTGTCCCCAAGAAACCTAGGATCACTGGACTAAATGACTACAGACCTGTGGCTCTGACATCTGTGGTCATGAAGTCATTTGAGCGCCTGGTTCTCTCCTACCTCAAGACCCTCACGGCCCCCCTCCTGGACCCCCTGCAGTTTGCATACAGAGCCAACAGGTCTGTAGATGCCGCCATCAACATGGCTCTACACTTCATCCTGCAACATCTGGACTCCCCAGGAACCTACGCCAGGATCCTGTTTGTGGACTTCAGCTCTGCCTTCAACACCATCCTTCCAGACCATCTCCGAGGCAAGCTTTCCCAGATGAATGTGCCTGATCCCATCTGCCGGTGGATCACTGACTTCCTGACGGACAGGAAGCAGCATGTGAGGCTGGGAAAGAATGTCTCAGACTCCCGGACCATCAGCACCGGCTCCCCTCAGGGCTGTGTTCTTTCTCCTCTGCTCTTCTCCCTGTACACCAACTGCTGCACCTCCACCCACCAGTCTGTCAAGCTAATCAAGTTTGCAGATGACACCACCGTTATTGGACTCATCTCAGACGGGGATGAGTCTGCCTACAGGAGGGAGGTTGAACGTCTGGTGTCCTGGTGCAGCCACAACAACCTGGTGCTGAATGCCCAGAAGACAGTGGAGATTATTGTGGACTTCAGGAAGCACACAGCCCCACTCCCCCCCATCATCCTGACTGACACCCCCATCACCTCTGTGGACTCGTTCCGCTTCCTGGGTACCACCATCACCCAGGACCTGAAGTGGGAGCCCACCATCACCTCCGTCATTAAGAAAGCCCAGCAGAGGATGTACTTCCTGAGGCAGCTGAAGAAATTCAACCTGCCAACACGGACGATGATGCAATTCTACACTGCAATCATCGAGTCCATCCTCACCTCCTCCATCACCGTGTGGTACACTGGAGCCACTATCAGGGACAAACAGAGACTGCAGCGTGTTGTGCGCTCTGCTGAGAAGGTGATTGGCTGCAGACTCCCATCTCTGCAGGACCTGTACACTTCCAGGACACTGGGGCGTGCAGCTCGGATCTCAGCTGACCCTTCTCACCCTGGACACAATCTGTTTGACTTGCTCCCCTCAGGCAGGAGGCTCCGGTCCATTCGCACCAGAACCTCTCGCCATAAGAACAGTTTCTTCCCCTCTGCTGTTGGACACATGAACAATAACCGTATGACTGTTCCCACCACTAACACATGACCCTACGCTGTGTTCACTGCATCATTCCATGTTTGCACTGATCACCACCTGCATTCATGTATATATCTATCTACTTAGCACTTTTAATTCTTATTCTTATTTTTATTTTTATATCTATTTAAGCGTTTATGACAGTATGTTTGCACTAAGCACTGCAGCAATTTCCTAATGTTGTAAACCTGCTCAACATTTGGCAATAAAACCCTTTCTGATTCTGATTCTGAAGTTCCAGTCAGCTGATCACTCTTCAATAACCTGCTGCCTCCAAAATAAACTTCCTCTTCCTCTAATGGAAACCACCTGCTGGCTGATGACATCATCAGGCATGCAGTGATGATATCATCAGGCAGGTATGAACATGAAAGAACATGATGAATGAACAGATGAGTTCTCACCTGGGTGCTTCCTGCTGATCGGATCTGTTTCTCTCGGATTCATCAGGAAACACCGAGCACATCTCTCTCCTCGCTGCCACCAGCACTGTGCCTCCCCAACCACACTGATTGATGCTTTTTTCTTTTACACAAATTGCTTCTTTGATAAAGCGATGGTACGTGGGCGGGGGAGGGGGAAGGAAACAGAAGCTTTCGTGTCCTGTAATCAGGTTTGTGTCATCAGGAGGTCCAATCACCAAATAGCTCTGTATAACGATGCCTGCACGTGTTTGTCCATAGACACGGTGTCAGTAAAGTTTTCAATAAACACACAACTCTTAAACAGGTGAGTCATAGAAGCATCCTCCCTCCGTACCGGTGTCATGAATAAGGAAAGAGACCAATCAGTTTGTTTCAGGTTGTATGCATGACTCAGCCCTGCCTCTGCTGGACACCAGAGGAACTGCAGGTGTGGGGCTGCATCCTCTTCCCTAAAACCCCTTCTATAACATACGTGTTTCCTTCTACTTCTCCGAACATCTGCTGGACATTCAACACCGAAACACACGACTGTAGCAGCATGGCTGCTACACCTTACTGTAATCACATTACAGTTACTATTACTAGTGTGACACTGGTTCTTCAGGAATCTGAAACAGTATTAAAATAAAGGTTTAACAAAACACAAAGACTTGATGAAACGTGACTGCAGAGTAACATCACTGTCACATCCAGTTTCACTTAATGGCAGCAGAGTTTGACTCTTTAAACGTTTCAGTCAGCTGATGGTTTTAGAGCAGCATTACCATCACAATGGAAATGACAGAAACCATGGAGACCTGAACAACATCACACTTAAAAACATCCAAGGTGAGTTTCATCAGCTTTTTGTGATTTCAAACAGTTAAAATGCTTCTGGAGCTGTTTTAAAACTGCTTTATTTTGACAGGATGTACTGCTACTGAAGTACTTCCTGTTACAAACACGAATGTTCATCTGTGTTTGATGATGATGGGAAGAAAAGCTCAGCATTTTACCTGCAATTAGCAGTCTGCACTAATCCTGAACAAGACACTTTAATGAGGAACCTGCAGAGAGCACAAAGCCACACATCATATGAAACAGGAAATAACAATGAAAAGATGAACTGAAAGGAGAAATACTGAGTTTAAACATGAGGAGATGCTCACTTTGTTTAAGGGATTGATTGATTGATTGATCAGCGTTTCAGTTGTGATTGATATCTAAGGCTCAGGTGAGAAGTCACCATCTCCAAACAGCCGCAGAGCGAAGTCATCGAGTCCATCAGCTGTTCAGACCCGTTTCAGTCACACTGTGGCACCGCATCATTGATCCTTGATCAGTTACTGATCTGCCACAAGCTCTCTGTAAGAATACATCCATCTGTTGCCAAGCAACAGCACGCTGACCAATCAGATCACCTGACAGGTGAGTGCCAAGAGACTGTCAGGAACCTTCATTCAGTCCTTCACTGAGGCAAAGTATTCTGCAAAACAGACTGCATCTTGTGTCGCCCTGACAGTAAGGAGTGTGATCAAATCTGTGGCATCACCTTTGACCCCGTAACGATGCGGACTGATGAAAAATCTATTTTTATTTTTAAAATCTCGAGTCAAAGCAGTTAAACTGGAGTCTGAATTTTCCCACAATGCCTCTCTGCTCACCTGGCTGCTAAGCTCTCTGTTGACTCCTGCAGGTCAGATTCTGGCAGGGCACAAAGAATGCTCTTCTGCAGACCAATCAGCAATCAATCAGTACGCAGCAAACTCAATAATCACCTCTGTGATAAACAGCTGATGTCACCAACAGGTTACTCTGGTTAATCAATAATCAATCTCAGTATTGGTTGATCGGTATTAGGGCTGGACTGAAAATCTGGTATACCGGGCATTTTCCCACTGTGCTGATGCATGTTTGGGCTGCTGCTAACTGCTAACAGCTGAAGTGTGTTGCATGCTGCGGTGCAACCCAGCAACATCCACGCCGAGCCGATTAAAACATGTTCCAAAATCAATAATAAAAAAGAATGAAAAGCACACACGAGAGCTTTGATCTGATTAGTGAAAAAAAACATTTATTTACAAAACTTTATTGTTGTATCCATGAAAAACAGATGCCGTTTACAAAAACATGTTGACACTGAACTTCCTGTTTGCTTTTTTACAGCAAAACACAGAAATAAGACGACGGCACGACAGTCACACACGATCAATAATCATCAACACCTTATCATCAATGAGCGCTGGTCACGTGACACCGAAAGGAACAGCAGAGACCACCAATTTCCCTCTGGCCGGTGGAAACTTTCAAAGTAAAAGGTTTACAATGGAATTGAGATCAACTCCTTTAAAATAAGAGGTTTAAAATGCAAGACTATTGCCCCCTTCACAATAAGAGGTTTAAAATGCAAGATTGGTGCTCCTTCAAAATAAGTTTAGAATAGAACATATTGATTTCTTCAAAATAAGAGGTTTAAAATACAAGATAGGACCACTGCAAAATGAAAAGATTCAAATGCAAAAGCGTACAATTCCTTCAAAAACTAAAAAATAAATAAATTAAATATAACATTTAAAATAATGTTTAAAATGAACAAACATCAAATCCTTCAAAATAAAAAGGTTTAAATGCAACAGAATGTCACTCCTTCAAAATAAATGTATTTCAAATGCACTAAACTATGACTCCTTCAAAATAAAATGTTTAGAACATATAGGAGCATAACCATTTCAAAATAAAATGTAAAAGTTAATAGGGCATTCCAACAAAATATTTCAAACACTGGCAGTAACTTTTTTAAAATAAAATTCAGATCGTGCTTTTTTGTTGGCTTTTGTTTTTTAGACTGTTAAAAGATTTTAGTTTTTCACAGTTTTATGATAAATATAAAAAAGATTGAATAGTTTTAAAACTTTATTTAAAAATGTAAATAAAAAATGTGCCCCTGTGGGCGTAGGCTGGGAACCAGCGAGAGTCCTGACCCACAGATTGGGACACGTTTATTTTCCCACCTGTCCTTTCTGTCTTTTTTTGTGCTTGCCTTTGTTCGAGTCAGATGGAAGAAACTGTTGAATGGTCCTTTAAATGAAGTTAAACCATCAGCTGCTTTTTAATCCCAACTCCGTGTAAGAGCACCCTCAGTGTAATCCTCCCATCTGTGTGTGAGCGCCCGTTTAAGCTCACTTCTTCCTGATTGAACAGCTTCTGGAAGCCCGCTGAGGGGCAACACCTCAATCAGAGATTTTTCTACAGGGACTAATTTTTACCTCGGTAAAATGCAACATCTCACGCTGTAAGCTCTTTAGCAGAAACTAAAGAAAAGCAGAACAGAGGCAGGATGAAGTTAAGAGCTTTCGGATCTGCTCAATTTGGCAGAAAATGACTGACATTAGGTCGTGGCTTTGATCTGAACCGTTAGCTCTGCCTCTGTGTCTTTGGTGCTGCATACTGAGGTTAGTGGGTGTGAGCCGCTTCAGCGAAGAGGTCCAATAAAAACCTGGTTTAACCCTGGCTAATCTCAATGACAGGTCATCATTATTGAACCTGCAGAGGTCCGAGAACCCAGGTGGCTTCAGGTCATTTCTGCCAGTACGTTTCTGTAGCTGCTGCCTTCTTCTCCTTGTCCTGTTGACTGTTAGCTGGGTGTAAATTCACTGCACTGGCAGATATCCATTCAAACCTCTGAGGATGTCACTCCTTTTCAGGGTACTCGGGATCTTCTCAAAGCTCTGTGTAGCATTGGAAAACCTTCAGAAGCAAAATCTGAACGTTTCAAGCTCCTCCAAAGAGATCTGTTCGTCCTAACCAGGACACTGTCTTGTGTTTCCTGCATGTTCTGATCTGCATGTTTTTGTTGTATTCCATCTGATAACGTTTGTAACTCTGTGGTGATAAACTTTCTGCCGATGCTGAGGCACAGAGGTCGCCAACTTCCTGCAGAGTCAACCACTACAGACTTCATGTGGCCTTCAGATTAGAGACCTTTATGGAATGGGTTTCCATGGTGACCATTTGTATAATAAGCCTTACATCACAAAGGGCAATGAAGGCGTCACATGCAGTGGAGTAAAGCACAATGCCACTAAACTCTAGAGCAGTGAAGACATGTTCGCTGGAGTGACCAATCACGTTTCTCTATCTGGCACTCTAATGGATGAATCTAGGTTCAGTGGTTACCGGGACAAATGTAAAGCTTGGTGGGGGGATTATGGTGTGAGTGTGCTTTTCAGGACTTGGACTCCGCCCCTTAGTTCTATTGAAGTAACTCTTATTAGTCATATGCAGAGGAGTGAATACGTTTAACAGTACAGTGTTATTTACTGAAGTCTGCACTGTAGTTTTGTTTCTTTGTGGACAACACTAAAAGGACAGAAACAAGAAGCCTCGTACTCTCTTTCTGACGATGAACACTGACAAAAGACTAACTCAAACTTTACATGTAAGGTGTACGGCGCTTAGTCGTTATTTGTCACTGAGAGGGTTTACTGCTGTACATTTTAGTCCTAAACCTGTGTGGCAAGATGGAGGGAAAGAAAACGTGAGTAAAAGAATAAAACTGGAAGGAGAACTGACACGATTTCCACTGAAAGATCCAAAAACCAGGGGAAGATTATCCTGAATGTGACATCTGCCAGATTTAAATCCAGTTTTTGGTTTGGACCTGTTCTCATAACTTGTAGATTACACCTTGTACATACGACACTCTGACACCAAATGACAGAAATCTGAGTAGTTCGCTTTTTGTAGTTTGCACATGTCAGTGCATCCACAGAAAGGCTCTGACATCACAGATCGCTCTGACATCACAGTGCTCACTATCTCCTCTTCCTCACAGTCCTCTCAGACTCGGATGGGCTTCACTGTTGGCTGCTTTCAGGTTTAGAGTCTCTGGCAGCTCAATTTCAGAGAAGGAAATACAAAGCAGTGACATGAATGACAGGAAGTGACATTAGTCAAAGTACTGATGTATCATTAATCTCTGATTAATCTGCTGATTAATCAACGAATCATGTAATCAGAGTCCAGAAACTTGTTCAACATGCACAAATCAGCAAATGTTTCAAACCGGAGAAACAGTTCCCAATCAATTAATTATTAATCATCAATCAGTCAGGTTTTGCTGACGTTTCTGAGCATCAAACAGTCCGACCTGCTGACCTCAGCACCTCATGATCACATCACTGGATTAAACACAGACACTCCCAAACAGGTACAGACCAAACACTCAGAACACCACCACCTGCGGAAATTACTATTCCGTCCAATCACATCCCTCATAACAGATGGCATCACTCAACCGGAACGCCGTCCACACTCTCCTGGGAGATCTCAGAGTCCAGGGAGTAGCAGGAGCTGCCATTGTCCTGAGTGTCCCTGTTGGGCTCCTCAGAGAGAGCTATGGGGGTGCCCACTGAAGCTCCACCCCCAGCCCCTCCCCCAGGCTCAGCAGCACTGTCGCAGAAGTGGGCGGAGGCCTGGAAGAGCTGGCTGCAGAGGCGATTGTAGCGGTGGTAGCGGGACGGCTTGCCTGTGTGGGTGTACATGTGCTCCTGCAGCTGGCTCTTGTGGGAGAAGCGTAGGCTGCAGACGGCGCAGGCAATCTTACGTTTGCGTGAGTGCAGGGAGGGAGCAGGGCTACTCCCCCCTCCTCCACTCCCACCACCTCCTCGGCTCCGCCTCAGCTCAGCAGCCAGCTGGTTGGCTAGCGCCTGGCTCTGTCTCAGAGCTTCCTCCAAACATCCTGCATCCAGCTGCTCCTGGGTTCCTGGAGGACCCTCCTCTAGGCCGGCTTCCAGCTCGCCACCCTGTGACAGCCCCTCCATGAGACGGGCGGGGTCGAGGGCGTGGCTGAATAGGTGCTCCCGCAGGCCCTCTGGGGAGGAGCAGCGCTCTCCACAGCGGGGACAGAGCAGCACTAGCGGCCGGTCTTTGAACAGGAGGCCCTGAATAGGACTGCTGTCCTGAATTGGAGACCCTGCACCTGGACCCTCCTCGCCGTCCTCCTCCTCCTCTAAGCGTTCCTGCTTGATATGGGTAGTTGAGATGTCAGAATCGTCTCCGGATGCCACAGAGCAACGTAGCGCTGAGGCCTGATGGTCCGATGATACCCCCTCCAGTCCGACAGCAAGGGACAGCTGGGAGTGAGACCGGGCCCCTCGGTCAGAGGACCGCCCATCCTCGGCCCCGCGGGACACCGTGGTGGTCTTGGGGACTCCGGGTCCCTCCTTGCTGGCCAGCTGGGAAGAGATCTGAATGCCATAGAGGTTGGACATGCGGACCACGTTGTTAGCAGTCTCAGCAGCACCCTCACCAGTTTTGCGGCACAGCTGGTAGGCGTGAAGGAACTTAATGCCCTCCTGCAGCCGGCTCTGGTCCACCGGCTGTTTGGGACACATACCGGTGTACATGATGTGCAACAGGTAGCTGAAGACGTCCGGCTGGATGTCCGTGGGCTGGATCTTTATACACTCGCTGGGGACACAGAGAGACATGAGGTCAGCACCTCGGAAAAAAACAGCATGTGAATCCTGATGTTTTGGATCGATGTTCTCCTGAAGGTTTGGACCAAAGTTTTGTTCCTCTATTCTGGCTTACAGGATCCAGATCCTGAAATTTGTTCTCTGGAATAAAGGAACAAACACCGGTACAAGCCTTCGGGCAGGCACGCCGTCCACACTCTCCTGTGTTTAAGACATTATTCTAGTCTTAAACACATTTAGGGCTGATCAATCATTATTGAATTTTTATTACCATTTGATTGCTTCTTAAAAATTATGAAAAAAAAAATTGGGGTAAAACATTAAATTTCATTCATTGTTTTTTTGGTGTGTTACAAATCAAACACACCACTGTTCACCTAAAAGGTAAGGCCAAATAAAGGGTCCTCACATGTCCTCACAGTGCATCTGTTTGTAGCTGACAGCTAGCCACTTTTTGACCAGTCAAGCTCCAAGTTTGTAGTTAACGCTAACATTCGGTTTGGTTGTGGAGAGCAAATCCAATCCTGAGCTGTCTTTCTCATGGCTAATCTTAGCTAACACTAACATGCCTGCTGACAACTAGTAAAATCCTGTCTTTAATGGATAAGGTTGGCCAGTTTGTCCAAATTCCCAAGGCTGATCTATTTGCAGCTGCATGGTTTCAGACAAGCAAACCCTCTTTGGGTTCATGCCGCACTGCTAACTCACAGCTAGGTGGCTAACAGCAGGTCATCTGGTAACGTTTTCATGACAGGATCGACGCAGAGACTGTCACCGGCTGGTTAGTGAAGTCCTTTTCATCACTGCCGTCACGATGACAGCAAGCGGCAGATCTGACTGAAGAACGTACGTTTAGTACACCCCAGATAATCCTCCTCTCTGACCTGGAACCCAACACGGTTGAGGAAGCCAACAAATTTATCAGGACAAAGGATTCAAGGGTCAGAGGAGTCACCACCTGCTGGGCATTTAAAAGAATTCAGGTTCTCAGAAAACATGCCTATTTTTTATCCTACCTGCACTTGTGTGATGACCCAAAGCACAAGTGTATAACTAACTTCTACTCAGGTAAAGAGGTCACACGCCGCTGTCTCACCCCTCACCTGGACTGGTGGATGAAGATCATCTTGAAGTAGTTGGAGAAGGCAGCCAGCACAGCGCGGTGAGCTTTGAAGTAGACGTTTCCGATGGCGACGGTGCAGTCACACAGGAAACCAAATTCCCTCTGCACGTTCAGCTGCTGCAGCAGGAAGAGGCTGTGCGACGACACCTCCATGACACCGTCTGAAACACAAACCCGAGCCCATGAAGTTCACATTATGACCTCCATCATCACTGCTCACACACATACATTTAACATACAAACTTATTAATGTGCAACAGGATGGAGGATGTCTTGAAGAGGTTCAGAGAAGGTCAGAGGAACTTCACTGTGACCCTGAGCAGAGGATCCGCTGTGGTGATAGAAGATGAAATACAGTGGGGCAAAAAAGTATTTAGTCAGCCACCGATTGTGCAAGTTCCCCCACTTAAAATGATGACAGAGGTCAGTAATTTGCACCAGAGGTACACTTCAACTGTGAGAGACAGAATGTGAAAAAAAAATCCATGAATCCACATGGTAGGATTTGTAAAGAATATATTTGTAAATTAGGGTGGAAAATAAGTATTTGGTCACCTCAAACAAGGAAAATCTCTGGCTCTCACAGACCTGTAACGTCTTCTGTAAGAAGCTTTTCTGTCCCCCACTCGTTACCTGTATGAATGGCACCTGTTTGAACTCATCATCTGTATAAAAGACACCTGTCCACAGCCTCAAACAGTCAGACTCCAAACTCTGCCATGGCCAAGACCAAAGAGTTTTCGAAGGACACCAGGAAAAGTATTGTAGACCTGCACCAGACTGGGAAGAGTGAATCTACAATAGGCAAGCAGCTTGGTGTGAAAAAATCAACTGTGGGAGCAATCATCAGAAAATGGAAGACATACAAGACCACTGATAATCTCCCTCGATCTGGGGCTCCATGCAAGATCTCATCCCGTGGGGTCAAAATGATCATGAGAACGGTGAGCAAAGATCCCAGAACCACACGGGTGGACCTGGTGAATGACCTGCAGAGAGCTGGGACCAAAGTAACAAAGGTCACCATCAGTAACACACTACAACGGCAGGGAATCAAATCCCGCAGTGCCAGACGTGTTCCGCTGCTGAAGCCGGTGCATGTCCAGGCCCATCTGAAGTTTGCCAGAGAGCACATGGATGATACAGCAGAGGATTGTCATGTGGTCAGATGAAACCAAAGTAGAACTTTTTGGTATAAACTCAACTCGTCGTGTTTGGAGGAAGAAGAATACTGAGTTGCATCCCAAGAACACCATACCTACTGTGAAGCATGGGGGTGGAAACATCATGCTATGGGGCTGTTTTTCTGCCAAGGGGACAGGACGACTGATCCGTGTCAAGGACAGAATGAATGGGGCCATGTATCGTGAGATTTTGAGCCAAAACCTCCTTCCATCAGTGAGAACTTTGAAGATGAAACGAGGCTGGGTCTTCCAACATGACAATGATCCAAAACACACCGCCCGGGCAACAAAGGAGTGGCTCCGTAAGAAGCATTTGAAAGTCCTGGAGTGGCCTAGCCAGTCTCCAGACCTCAACCCCATAGAAAATCTGTGGCGGGAGTTGAAAGTCCGTGTTGCTCGGCGACAGCCCCAAAACATCACTGCTCTCGAGAAGATCTGCATGGAGGAATGGGCCAAAATACCAGCTGTGTGTGCAAACCTGGTAAAAACCTATAGTAAACGTTTGACCTCTGTTATTGCCAACAAAGGTTATGTTACAAAGTATTGAGTTGTATTTTTGTTATTGACCAAATACTTATTTTCCACCCTAATTTACGAATAAATTCTTTACAAATCCTACCATGTGGATTCATGGATTTTTTTTTCACATTCTGTCTCTCACAGTTGAAGTGTACCTCTGGTGCAAATTACTGACCTCTGTCATCATTTTAGGTGGGGGAACTTGCACAATCGGTGGCTGACTAAATACTTTTTTGCCCCACTGTATATATATCTGTGGTCGGTCAAGTCCATTGCTGCTGTGTTACCGATACTCCTGTTGCTTTAGCTCAGTAAGTACTTAATATCGAAGTGCTGAATAACGCCACAAGGTAGAGCCTTCCTGATTCTCGTGCACTGTTATTGGTCGATGTTGTAGAACAGAGCAGGGGTGCAGGTTCATTCACTAAAAGAGCTGATGAAGCTCCTCTGTTTGAGGGGGAGCCTCTTCTACCGTTCACTGCTGGAGCGTCTGGGGGACATCAGAGGAACTTCAGCTCCTACAGGGGCGCACGCGTGCCACTGTCTGGGTCCCTTGCACTTTGAAAATAGATAGGGGGCAGGGTTTAATAAGAATATTTTCTTCTTCCTGCTCCTTTTCACACATGGTTGTAGTGCTTTTTGATAGAAAGTGTGGTTGGTTTGTTTGAATTGTTGTACCAAGTGTGAAATAAATAAATAAATGAAATGAGAAAAAAAAATCAACTTTAAGTAACTGTGTTGTCTTTAGTTGTGCTGACGTGGGAGTTTCCAATTTCATTGTACTATTGTACAAGGTATGAGTGTGCAATGACAATAAAGAGTTATTTTATCTTCAGCATCTCTCGCATACACACACGCATACACAGAAACACAAAAACACACACACAAGCACACAGACACACAAACACAGAGCAGTATAGCACATTAAGACCTGAAGAACTCTTAAGGTGTTGTTTAACCCTGTGACGTCACATTAAGTCCGTCAGGCTCACTTGGACACGCCACCTCTGACCTCAGCGAAGGTCACACCTGACACACACGCACTCATGCACGGGGAAGGGGCGGGTGTTCACATCGAACTGACCCGACCACACCGGAAACCGGACACCCGCGCGACCCAGTCACACACTAGCTCTGCGCGTGCACGTGCCGTCGCGCCCGCCACCGCGCAGCATCCTCCATCCTTCATCTCATTCATCACACGCACGTCCTCATCACCTCCGCGCACACGGGCGCGTGTTCACGCTCCCAACGCCCGGCAATCCCGTGTATGCGCGGATCCTGCACGCGCGCCGTTAATGAGCGCCTTACCGCAGAAACGAGCAGATCGTCTTCAGAATCGGCCGATTTGTTGCTGCAGAGGATCTCGCGACGAGCCGCGTCACCTCTCGCGAGAACATGGGTCAAATGGGGCAGTCACGTGAGCATTCAGAAACGTTTGATGGCTGATCAGTAATTTAATAAACGCAGAGCAGGAAAGATGGCGTTATCGTGCCATCGATAATTTTCTGAGTATATCAGGAAAAAAAGTGAAACTGATCAGAGGCTGTCAGCCAGCAGCATAAGACCCCGACACCGTGCAGGGAGCACGATCACGTGACACAACACACACCGACACCGTGCAGCAGACAGACTCACAAACACGCTTCAGGTCTGCAGCTCAGGGACTGAACCCCATCATAATCTGTGTAATCTGAGACTCAGAGTACTCTCGGAGTGGGCCACTGTACCTCGGTTGGTGACTGAAGTAACTCATAACCTGTGTAAATATGTTTTCTTAGGCTGGTGTCCACTGAGCTGATCAGCAGTATTGATTATTACTGACCACAGCGGGTATGCTGTGAGGTGTGGTCCACATTCTTGGCAGTGAGTGGGACACGTTCCCAGTGGGTGCTGGGCTCCGCCTAGGCCGCCCTTTGTCACCGGTGATGGGCAGATTATCTGGGCGTTGCCAGCATCTTGTCTCTGCATTTTGCAGATGATGTGGTTCTGTTGGCATCATCAGGTGCTGCCTCCAGATAGCAGGCTACTTTGAAACAGACGGACTGGTGCTGCAGTGATGAGATCGTTCAGGTGAGATGTTGCTGCTTCTTCAGGCGGAGTCTCCTGCTCAACTCAGAGTTAGACCTCCTTGCTGCTCTCTGACTGAATGTGGGTGGCGGGAGGCCTCAAGTAATCCTACAGGCGAGAGAGAAAACAAATAGATTATTCCGGTTATTATTTTCAAATTAAAAGCAGACTTTGTTTCCTGTGGTCGTTTTCAATGAAGACATAATTCTGACACTCTTTATTTAACTGTGAAAGGCCCCGTCCAAGCCAGAAATGTATATTTATTATTTAATGCCCACCTGTGAACTACTGCTTGATGCAGTTAAACATGTCCCACTGGGTTAAAGTTCTTATATATTTTATTATAACTTCAGTTTTTCATTTTACTTTTTTTTTAATTTTTTACTGTGCGACACATGTTGCGTTTCCGTAGTGTCAGCTGAGCTGCGCGAAGCATCAAAGCGGAAACGTATTTTTGAAACGTTAAAACTTTATTTAACTTTATTTTGAAGGGCCCCACTCTGACCGGAAGTTCCTTATTTGGACTTCCTCGCTATGTGCGGCTTGACGGCGCGGCGGGCTGTGCGGAAGTGCTTTCATCCTGCTGGAGGAGAAGAAGAAGAAGAAGAAGAGGCTGCTCCTTCGTCTCCACAGTAAACCATCCGCGGAGGACATTTCGGAGCCTGGGAATCCCACAGCAGCAGCCCCTTCGCCGGCCTCCGGGACCCACGGTGAGTGGACGGACCCGTGTCCGGGCTCGGGGCCGTCTGGGCGGCAGGCGGTGAAGGAAATGCTCGCGGCCTGCTCTCGGTGCTGAATGCGGGTGGCAGTGCGGGGGCGGCGGGGCTGTTTGTGGGAGAGAGCGCTCAGTAACCGCCCGGTTTTATTCGCATCACATCCGGTGGCTACTTTCAAAATATAAGTCGTAACGAATAGTTTTGAGCATTGAAGCAGCCGGAGGAGCTACGAGTTCACTGACGATCCTTCGGGGAGTGTCTGACTGTCACTGAGACGCGCTGTGATGCACGCGATACCCTGACGGTGGTCTCGTTCACCCCTTGTCACGCTTCGTGTTTTCATTTTGGAGGAGTGATCACAGGAACTTCCGGTGTGGACCACGCTAACAGGGGTTAGCTTGGAGCAGCTAATCTCAGCCGAGCTGTAATCTCCATTTTAGCTCGGCGGTGTGGCCAGCCTCTCCCTCCGGTCTCTCCACGGGCTCGCTCCCACCTCGGCGGCTCCTTCGCGGCCTGTCTGCCGGTGACTGACAGCCCGCACCGCGTGCCTGCGGGCCCGGCGGGGACTAACAGTAAGCAGGATGAGGGCTCTTATTTGAGTGGTTTTTACAGTGGAGTCTGGTGACAGAGGCCAAAATTATTTCATCCACTCTTCACAGTGATCACATTATTATCTTTATTGATTACTGATCAGTAGAGTAGGTTTCTGAACTGTGACCTTTAATCTCACAAAGCTCAAACACACCTGACAGCAGACACATCAGATATGAACCTAGACTGTCACGTGTCGGCTGATAAAATGAGCCCTGAGACCTTCCTGTGAGCAGCAACCAGCTGATCAGAGTGCAAACGACTTGTCCATGACTTGTTCTGGTAATAACACGATTAAGGCACTCATCTTAGTAAAAACTCGTGAAAAACTGCATATCACAATGACCTGAAAGGGGGAAAAAAACAATGTGTCACCATTTACAATCATAAACTCTGAGCTGGGCTGTGATTAGAAACTGATGATTTAATCAGCCTGAACGTTTTAAGGCATTCTTAAAATCATATCTGCATATTTCTGGAAAAGTGTGATGATGATGATGATGATGATGATGATGACGTTTATGATGGGATATAAAAAGGTCGTTCTGCAATTTAATGTAACTGCAGCAGCTGCACGACGCCATCACATCAAACTGAGACTGGGGCTGGGGGCAAAGTCCTGCTTTCCCACTGTGTGACCTCATCACAAGTCACTCCACTGCTGGCTCTTACTGTCACATGGTGTGTAGCTAGCGGTGTCTGGGGAATCATGTGGAGGTGCGTTCTATGTCTCCACCTTTAGCAGGATCAGGTTTTGTTGGAGGAGCTCAGTTTTGGCTTTAAATCAGCGGGACCGTCCTGAACTCACGTGAACTGATCTGATGTCACGTCATGTGATCAAAGAGCCAAACCATTTCAGAATAAAACGCCATCCTGAGCCTCATCTGAGAGGCGGAACTCACTTTGGAAATCAGTCACCTGACCGTCTGCAATGGAGTCATGCTTTTCGGTCATCAATTCATATTCTGCTGGAACATGTTGGCTCGTTGATCTCACATGATGACCTCACTTCCTGTAGTCATGTGTAGGGGTGGACTATATCATACCGTTCACGGTAATACCGGTGTAATGTTGGGCAACGATAAGAAAATGAAATATCCCGATAGAATATGGGCAAAACGCGCATGCGCAGTGCCTTTGTTTACATACGCACATGGCGTCGACGCAGAATGAGAAGAGCGAAAGTGGATTGTTGAATGAAACGGATGAACCAGAATTGGTTTGTAAAAATGCTGCAACTTCAGTGGTGTGGAACTGGTTTGGCTTTTGTCCGTCAGATATACAACAAAACACTATTTTTGGTAGCGCATGCTAACGGGCTGTCTTTATTATTGGAAAATACGGCACCCTTAAAATCAATCCTTTGATTTTTCTGAAAATCGACAGCGCCCCTTATAATCCCGTGTGCCTTATGTATGAATTCTGGTTGTGTTTACTGACCTGGAAACGATTTTATGTGGTACACGGCGCTCGAAAATCTGTCAAATGTTTCAGTACGACTTTGCTAAGCTACGAAGCCGCACCGCTTGATGGATTGTCGGAGCATTACGGCTATCGTAGGCAGGAGCCTCGCGGAGTGATACGTACTGTGCTTCAACATAATATTACCGTATTGTGTGTGTGTGTGTAACCTCTTTTTAAGTTTTGTGGATATTATACATGGTTATGCTGAGGATATGTCAGCCAATTTCCACTGGAAATGCCTTTTGTAGGGCTGCTCGATTATGGCAAAAATGATAATCACGATTATTTTCACTGAAATTGAGATCACGATTATTTGACGATATTTATTTAACCCTTTAAGACCTACTATAGAACCAAGTCCACCAGAGCTTATATTATTTTTTTACATGCTGTAGTGCCATTTGTGGGAGCATTTCAAGTTGCTATACATCAATACAACTGTTATAGCCCATATTTTAATAATATGTATGCATTAAGTCCATAGTAATTACATAAATTGCAAAAAAGTGCAATAAACTACAAAAAAATTGAAAATCGCTTTTGTTTTGTTTACATATATTTCTACTTGGAGAAATTTAAGAGGTTTATCCCTCAAAACTTTAAATACAATAAAGTTGCAAAAAATAGTTTCCCACCACAGGAAATTTATTTTGAGTGTCTTCATAGTTTTATTTTGGAGATACAGCAATTTTTATATACTGCAGGAAAAACAAAAAACAATCCTATGATGCAAATTTGCAAAGAAAACAGCAGGTGCATCATTTCACTGTGGGAAGTGTTACGAACAGCTGATAGGAACGGCAAAGCGTGTTTCTGGAATATTATGTTTTTGTTGCTGCAAGCGCTTTTTATGCAATTTTTGCAAAGCTATATGTGGAACAAAACCGTGACCGAGGACAAGCTGATGGCATCAGATGTAAGTACAACTCCTCCGGTTTCATATGCAAAACAAATTATTGCGCTAGCTTACACGGTTCAGGTTCTACAGGGATTTAAAAATAATTACGCAAAACGGAGCATGCAGCTCTGACCGGCTTTAAAGGGTTAACAATGACTTTAAAAAAATAATATAAAATAGTGTGCAACGCCACTGAAGTTTTTTTTTTTTAAACTCTCTTTTCAACCAACGGCAGTCACTCTCCAAATAACTTCTGCTTAGCTTTCCGAGCTTCCCTCGGGTCCTCTTAATCAGCGGTCTCCAACCTTTTTTGCGCCACGGACCGGTTTATGCCCGACAATATTTTCATGGACCGGCCTTTAAGGTGTCGCGGATAAATGAGGGAGGGGCTAATAATCGGCTCAGTCATTTTTAATGATCGTTGAAAGCCCAGATCGTAATCGTGATTAAAATTCGATTAATTGAGCAGCCCTAGCCTTTTGGTTAAACTGTCAGCAAGGAATTTGCATTTGCACTGTTAATTTTTTATATAACTTTAATGCACATAAAAACAGCTGCTTGTTTAAGTGAAAATACATTGATGTTTTTTTTTTTTGCACTAATAAAGTTGAGGAGTTGTAAAGTGTTTTGTCTAGTGTCAATTATATCGTCAGTTATATCGTTATCAG